AGTGTGCCTAGATTTTTGCTGGTGCTCCTAACTTTTTTGGGTTTGGAGCACAGTGCTCCTAGGTCAAAAATGTAGTCTGAAGGCCTGACACTGAGCAGGACAGAGACAGAGAGGAAGAAGCAGAGGGAGAGAAGAAGCCATGACTAGCTTGTGGCTGCTAGGCTAGCAGATCCAAACACCAAGCTGTATTACAAGCTGTGGAGCGGTTTTGCACAAGCGCTTTAGGAGCAGCCTGTGCAGTAGTTTAATTTTCCATCTAGACGCGTTTTAGTGTTTAGAAGCAAAATTGACTAGTTTAATATGAGTTAAACAGCCGCAGACACAAGCACACAGTAGGCTACAAACAGGAAACAGGAAGTATTACGTCACCTTGCGCAGTCATTTTACATCAAGCTTTTCTCACTTAGATGTTTTCGTGTTGTCAGACAGCAGAACTAGGATAAAATAATGACTAAAACGCAGCCCACGACAACTACACATTAACCAACAGTTGCTTCATTTCCAAGATGCTGATCTGCAGCTAAAACACTGATTTTAAACCATCATCTGACAAACTCACCAAACACAGAAATTAAAAACATTTCCAACTTAAACAAGAGAGCCCACAGTATGGGGGTCATAGTTGCCCGATGTATGCATCTTTACCTGATTCTGTGTTATACTGTGCGCCTCCTCAAGGATGAACTTGCCTTGATTTTTGCCTTAAAATGATACATAATGTAACAAGAGCTTAGTCTATTATGTAACAGATATTTTGCATGGCGGGGAAGCATTTTGTTGTAATTTACACCTACAGCTAAGCACCTAAGATTTCTGACCTTGACCTTTCATACAAGGTCAAATGTCACATCACCAATATGGGTTCCTATCTGATTGTAATAAGAAACTATGTGTTTATCTGGCACCTTTTCCAAGTTATAATGGATTTAAAATTTGTGATGATTTAAGACCTTCAGTGTAACCTTGACCTTTGTCTCAAGGTCATATGTTACATCACCAGTTTATAGGCCTCTGTTAGAATAATTCTATGTTATGATCCAATGATCTTTGTGAAATGTCTATGAGAATGCTGTACATGTCCATTGCCTCTATTGAACCTTGTGAGTGTGAGATAAGGACAAGTTGTTTTTAGCGAGAAGTCAAAACACCATCAGAACTGTGCCTATTCTCACCCTTTTGCAGGAGGGTATTTTTTGTTTTCTCTTCCCTGTCTGTATGTAAGAACCATGCTTCATGTTTTTAGTCAGTCACTTGTGCAGACTCTGTACTGTACATGTTGGCTCCTTGCTGCCACTAACACTTTGTTTTGACTTGAGAGACGACTGTGTATTGATTTGGAGCAGTTAGGACCAGTGGCGGCTGGTGAAAATTTTTGGTGGGGGGGCGCAGTCCGCAAATGACCTTTTATG